CACCTCTTGTTAGGTATGTGACCTTGGGCCTGCCTCTATATCCTAATTACTCATGTGTGAAAGGAAAGAATAAAAATGCCTATTTTAGGGAGGTTTGTAATGATTTAACAAGATTACTACATGCACGGCACTTAGAACAGCACCTGGCAGATATTGTGTATTATGTAAGAGTTAGCTATGATTATCATTGTGTCACTGGAGTTGAGATCACTAGATAGTGTTTGTCCAAGTGTTCAATCCAAGTGGCATCAATCTATTCTTGCTCTTCAGAGTTTGTTGTCTATGAGGCACCTGTGAGCTCCCATTGAGTCATGGTATTCCCAGGGCTTCTTCATGTCACCTTCATTATTCCTTTAGTTACTCAGCTAGGTGCCATTATGAAAGGAGGTGTTGAGAAATCTGATTCATCACTTTCAGAGGAACCCCTCAGTTCAGACAGTTTTGGGAAATTGTTCCCAGAATTGATGCATGGCATTTCTATGCACATTTGTAATAATTAGATGCTGTTTTTTCCCTCACTTAAAGTGAAATACAAAATGTCTGATGAACAAATTTATCTTAGTGAATATGAAATTTCCAAAGAAGGAGGTAGTTGTGGTTGGGGTGGGATCTAGTGTGTGTGTCTTAGTCTCAGAAAATGAGAAAGCTAAAGAAAAGAAACCACATCTCAATGATGCAGGGAACTTTGGCTCAAAAGACAAGTAGATAGGAATGGGGAGGCTGGAGCCCTGGGAGAAAAAAGGATGTATAAGCAGAAAGAGAGGGGATATATGAGCAGAAAGCTAAGTGCTAAACTTGTTTTAAATTCAGTATATGTTTGCTATGTTGTTCTGAAGGGAGAGAAAGAGGAAGAAAGTCAGTTTTGTGGAAAGGGGCTATTCCAATCTGTGATGGTACGCCTTATTATGTTATTTATTGATCTGTTTAGTATAGACTTCATCTATTGATTTCCTGCTATGTTGTTAGGATTTAATTAATAGAATTTAAATAATTCTTCCCATCCCAATTCCTTCCATGTTGCAACAGTTACAATTCAATTTTTACTTTGTTTTGTAAGTTATAATAACATAATTTTTACTCCATCAAACTTCAACTGTATTTTTTGAGTCTCTATCCTTTTATTATGGTTTGAATGTTTTCGTCTCCTCCAAATTCATGGGTTGGAAGCTTAATCTCCAATGCAACAGTGCTGAGAGGTGGGGCCTAAGGAGAGGTATTTCTGAGGGCTCTACCCACATGACTGGACTAATGCCCTTATAAAACGGACTTGCAGGAGTGGGTTCTTGCTCTCTTCTGCTCTTCTGCCATGTGAGGAACAGAGTTCCTCCCTTCTAGTGGATGCAGGATTCAAGGTAACATCTTGGAATGAGATACCAGGCCCTCACCAAACCTGCCAGCACGTTGATCTTGAGCTTCCAGTCTCCAGAACTGTGAGAAATAAATTTCTGCTTGTTATAAGTTACTCAGTCGCGGGCATTCTATTATAGCAGCCCAACAGAAACTAAGACAATTTCCCTTATCTCTCTTACTCCTTCTCTTTTCCAAATCAAGTATTATAAAATTGGAAAGATTTATTTATGTATTTATTTATTAGACAGAGTCTCACTTGTTGGCCAGGCTGGAGGAGGGCAATGGTGTGATCTTTGCTCACTGCAACCTCTGCCTCTTGGGTTCAAGTGATTCTTAAGCCTCAGCCTCCCAAGTAGCTGGAATTACAGGTGCATGCCACCATGCCCAGCTAACTTTTGTAATTTTAGTAGAGATGGGGTGTTGCCATGTTGGCCAGACTGGTCTCGAACTCCTAGCCTCAAGTAGTTTGTCTGTCTTAGCCTCACAAAGTGCTGTGATTACAGGCATGAGTCAGTCACTACACCCAGCCGTGTTAATTCTTCTTTAGTCATAATTACTGATCCAAAAAGGTGAAGAAAAATAAACGACATATACATTATGTAAATGTTATCTACAGCCAATTAGAGTCCTCTAATTACATTTCTTTCACTAGATGTGTCAGTTTGATCCAAGATGGGATGTTGAAAGTGCAAGAAATGTGTTCGGGAAAACACCTATGGAAAAAAATGGGAAGAGAGCAGATAAGAGGTTGGAAGAGCAATCCAAATATGATGCAGGTCTGACAACATACGTAGGAGAGATAGAACGAAGAAAAGTTGGGTAGAAACATCTTACATTACAGTATTTTTTTAAGGAATATTTGGCAAGGCTAGTGTGGAGTCCTTGAGTTTAAATTGCTCATCAGAGGAGTACTGCATCTCTCAGGAAAGGGCATGACTTAGTATCCTTGCCACACTGGGAAGCACAGTCTCAGTGTAAATGTAGTGCTAGAATTCAGAGTGTAGAGATGGGACTTTCAGACAATTACAATTCCGCTAGCTAGAGATCTGAGAGGTGCTTCTTATGGCTACCACATTAGGGTTACAATGTTATTACACTTGAACTACTCAAAGGAGACTGTTCTAATTGTCAAGGCCAAACGGATTCTCATTTCTTATAGTTCACCAATTATATAAAAACATGCCACATTAATTTGTTTTATATTTCTGTCATGTTCTTTAATCTCAATAATGAACATTTCCATGAAAGAACTACCTTGGGCCTGCCTGTGTTGTAGTTGATGTCATATAAGCATAGTCACATCATGGCCAGATAAACTCTGCCAGTTGAGGTTTAGCCTACAACAAATGATTACCGGTAGAAACTGTAAAATGGGATGAGTGCTACTGAACCAAGAGCCAAGAGAAGTAAATTATGGTCCACAAATTAGTTGTGAAACCTTAAGTCATATCACCAGTACTGGTCTCAATTTTCTATCAAGAAAGTTGGTTGGAGCAGGCATTTTCTCAGGGTCTTCCTGGTTTGAAAGTTCTGTGTTGTCTACAAGGTTGTTGCTGAATTGAAGTAATCTGCATTGTGGACTCAATCTAGAGAAGAATATATTGCTTTTGAAACTCTGGCTGATAGCATGTGATCAACTGCTAAGACTATTTCTGCACCCAGAAAGGACAGCAAATATCTTTAAGAAGAGCTCCATTACTGGGAAGCCAGTTTTTCTGTGAGCTGATTTATCATTTGTTGAAAGGGCTTTTCTCAGCTTTTGTGAATCAGGGAGCATAGCTTTAGTGCTGAAGGAAATAGTTTCCAAGAACACCTTAAAGATTTGGAGAGGAGGCACTTCTTTTCTGGAAGGTCAAATTACCCTGAATAGCAATCACAGCGACTTCTCTGGGCATATTTATGAGTCTGTCTAATAGGTAAGAAAAGAACTTGAGCCTGGCATCATAGGATTTTTATTAATCTTGACAGGATGAGTTCATCTAACCACTAGAATTAGGACCCATTTCAGAGGCTTGGAGTCAGCTGGTAAGGGCAGCTTTCAGAGGTAGGTGCAGAATACTATACAATTCAGCTCACGCAGCTTTTATTATAATATTAAATATCAAGTATATGATGAGGAATCCAAATGCAAACTGGATATTCAAGGAACTTAGGATTTCCTGGGTTAAGCCTATAAGCCTAATTACTTTTATTCCATTTACACTTACTTTTCACATTATAGATCAGTGGCTCTCAAACTTTGCTGCACAAGTTTCAACTGGGGAATCTAAAAATCATGATGCATGGACTGTACCCTATGACAATTAAATCATTCTCTGTGGGGTGGGACCCAGACATCCATGTTTTGTTTTAACTTTTTAGGTGATTCCAATACGCAGCCAAGTTTGAGGAACAATGTTGTAGACCTTACTATTCAAAATGTAATCAGAAGAACAGCAGCAGCATCCTCACCTGGGAGCTTGTTTAAAATGCAGAAATCTCAGGCCCTTTCTGTGTATGAGCACAACTCTTATCTGCTGATTTATAAAAACAAGTTAATTGATGAAGCAAATAATCTTTTCTGTGATTCACTGTCTGAGTGACCCCTGAATGGGAGTTTTCTGAACTATGTGGCAAGTGATGGAAGTTGTTTACTTTCAGGTGGGAGAAATGGCCTGCTTTGCTAAGTAATATCCTAAAATATTTGAAAGGGACAAAGGTATTTACTGAAAGGTCAGGACTTCAGTGCTGACTTTCTGAAATTCTTGAGTAAAGATCATTCCCTTCCTTGTTCTTCCTTAAGAGATCAAACAAAATTTAAAAAACAGAATTAAGTAAAACAAGATTTTTAAAAAATTAATATGTGAGCTACACTGCAGTATATATGTATGACTGACTACGTACAGAAAAAAAATCTGGAAGGATACATATCAAATTGTTATTAGTTTACCTTGAGGATGTGGAACTGTAGTAAGGTGAGGGGACAGCTCTCATTTTTAAATTCACATACTTTTGTAATTTTTTTTGGAATTTACAATGAGAATTCATTATTTTTATAACAATCAAATCATAATAGAAATTTTAAAGATAATAAAAAATAACAAAGTAAAACACACATAATAATTTTAAGAGTTACACTGGAGGAATGGAGAATTAAATCACATGGTACTTTTTCACTAATATTGTGGTGGTATATAATTGCGTAGTCTATAATCAAAGAAACTACATTAGAGAAGCCACATTAAGAAACGTCTGAATTAAAAAGTCCCCTGGCATAAAAGTCTCAAGCAGTGAATCCTCAAGGTGGATATTAAAACTGAAAGCAGCGCTTAACTCTTCCTAGAGAATCTACATGAAAAAAACTCTGAAAATTTCACATTTAAAAAAAAAAGCTTCATAGAAGTCACTTTGATTTGCTAAAATAGCCAAAGGCCAGAACTGAGGGTATAAAAACTCTATTCAGAACAGATTCAAAACTGGTACACTGAAATCTTGATAATCTAGGGATGTAGGTTAGGGACATCTCCTTTTTCCATTGGTTTATCATTTCTCCAATTTCCCAATGGCTGCTTTATATCTCAATAATTTTAACCTAAAAGTATTGTAATTTTAGTTGGAAGGAATAAAATTAATTGCATCTAAATTCAGTGCAAATTTTTTAGTTAAAAAAAAACCAAAACCAGAACAACTTGAGACTATTTTCCATTATTCATTTTTTTCCACTTAATTATTTCTAGCTACTTAATAAACATTTGGGGATTGAATCTCTGAAGTTACAGATTTAAAATTTGAGAAAATATTTTTTCTCCTCTTCTAGTTTTTTTTTTTTTTTATTGAAGTCACTAGAGATAACAAACTTTTTTGTTATAAACTTTTTTTCCAACAAAAAAGATATTTTAGGTGACTAATAGATTGATGGTTAAATATCCTTACCAAAGTCAAATCATCTCTAACTAAAACGTGCTGTCTTTTGCAAACTACATAGTTAAGAGCTTAAGTATTAATAAATAATTTTGTACATCTGAGTGTTCCTGATCTAGGTATCAAAGGTTTATGTAGGATTATACTTACTACATAATATGAGAAATTTGCCAAAACTTAATCTGCAAAGTATTATGAAAAGCACAGATAAAGAGCACCATAATAATGGCCATACCATGTTAAAAAGTTACAACAGCTAGAATATTGCTATTTCTCAATGGATTATAGTATTTTAGTTAAAAAGAAAAAAGAAGAAAGTACAAGGTTCATCATAATGCATATAAAATTTTTAGCACAATGCATTGTACACAATAACTGTTCAATAAATATTAACTCTATAATAAACAATGGATTAAAACAATTAAAAAATAGAAGAACCCAAAATGGAGGGAAAAGCTTACAGCTAATTTCCTACAGTATGTATTTAAATGGAAAGTTGGAGCTCACAGAGAGCAGTAAGGAATTCTGCATTTTCTGGATCTATCTTTTGTGCCTTCTTATAGTACTCAGCAGCTTGCCTCTTTTCTCCTTCCAGCTTATAAACAAACCCTAGGGCACTTAAACTCTGCACATCTAAAGCATTGTAACAAAGTCTCTTGGTAGCCAATTTCTTCAGCGCACTTGTCAGTTTGGTGCGAAGGGGTGATCTGTCTTTGACCTTTAAGGCTTCTAAATAATGATGGATAGCAGTATTTTCTGATTTACAGTGAAATTCCTGAAAGCGGCCATAGTGGTAGTGGATCTGATGTTTGTGATCATCAGTTATGTTCTCCAGACAAAGGGCTTTCTGGAAAATGTCCTCAGCATTGCTATACTGGCCTCCTTCAGCATACATGTTGGCCAGGTCTGTGTAGGCAAATGCAAACATAGAGTCTTGTTCCATGGCTGCTTTGAAATGAAATATAGCAGATGTAATCAGTTCATCAACCTTCAGCTTATCCTTTCCTTTAGGTCTGTTGCGTGTGGCCTTCTTGATTTGGATCATTTGTGCTCTGTAGCAAAGTCCCATCTGGTGATGCAGGAAAGAAGAAGTTGGTGTCACCTCCAAGGCCTTTTTTAAAAGTTCGAGAGCCTTGTCCCAGGAATTTTTTCTCCTATAGAATTTGGCTGCATAACGAAGGACATAAGGCTGGGATGATATTTGGTCCAGGATTTCTTCAATATACTTTTCCCCTTCAGCTTCTGCATGTACATCTTGAAGCTTCAGTGCAAGAAAAACCTTAATGTAGCTGTCATCTGGGTTCAGGGTAACAGCCTTTCTCAAAGGCCCCAGAGAAAAGCTCTTTACAGACCCTTCTCTGTCAGAATCATCCAGCCGATACACTGTGATAGCATAGCCGATGTTAAATTCTGGATTGTCAGGTTCTACTTCCAGAGCCTTCTCAAAAGCTGCTTTAGCCTTTTGATAATATTTTCCTCCAAATTTCAAGAGTGCCCACCCTTTCTCACAGTCAATCTCAGGACACTCCAACTTGTAGATAGACGGACTGGACAATTTCTTGCAGACATTCCCTATCTTACCTGTATACTTCTGAACTTCTTCAAGCTGGTCCATGTGATAACACACCCAGGCATAGTTTCCCCAAGTGACCAAGCTTCGTACTTCTTCTTTGTCCGAGTGTTCTCGCTGGATTATTTCTTCTGCTTGTTCCAAGCAGTCCAAGGCATCTTTATTTTGGCCTTTTAGGTGTTTCACATAGGCCAATAGGTTATAAAGAGCAAGTCTAGATTTTGTGGTAAGAAATTCAAGCTGTTGCCCAATTGTATCTTCCACTTCAAACAGATCAATGTCTTCCTTAAGTAAATTCCATGTAAAATGACATTCTAATTCCAACAGAATGGCCTTCAAGGTGTCCTTAGGAATTTCACTGTCAAAGATAAAATACTTTTTAATTTTTGAAGAAATACAAGAAATAATTTTCTAAACCCTAAACATTGATCTTTGCATAACAATTTTATCCCTATTTGATTTTACAGGTAAAGCACTAGGTTCCCATAACTTTATACCAGAGCTTCTTCTATGAACAGTTATGTCCTAGAAATATTTCATTTAAATTCTTACTATTTATTGCAAAAACAGTTCTGGAGAGATGACAGAGCTTTCTATATTACATGTATCTCTTTCCTTTTGGCAATCAGTAAACCCTTTAAAATTAGGAATAAATATATACATATTCAGTAGTTAATATGAAAATTCCATTTTTGTATTATGAGTACTGATCCTGACTAGGAAACCTGGTAAAATTGTTCCTTGGTAATTGTTCCTTTCTCTAGTGTAACTGTAGCAAAAACATGAGCAAGACATGCTATGTCCTTAAAGCCTGGTCAAATCCACAACAATATGGCCTTACCAGCCCCCTGCCTGTCATAGAGTAAAACAAACATCTGCCTGTTTTGAAGGTCTCTACCAGCCCAGCCCAAAGAGGATGAGGAGGGCTGCTCAGGTATTATCAATGTGGCTGTAAGATCTCAAAGGGACATTCAGTCAGGTACTGAAGTGGTTTGTCCAGGCTCTTTGGAATTTATGTACAACTGGACACTGTGAGAATTTTTACTGTTTAAACTTTGTCTACTTAGTTTTGTAACTTTGTATCTGGGAAGCTGATAAGAGAGAAGGAATTGTACCAGAAGAGGTAACATTTATCTGTCGTAATTCTGTTCTTTTGCTAGGAAGAAGCATTCTTTCATTGTCCTTGGGGGACAGTCCCCAGTGGGGCTAAGCCGTGTTCCTCCCCGTCCTGCACATGTAGAGTGCACATCACCCCCTTTATCTGGTAGTTTTTTCCAAGCCCCTTGCTGATATCATTCTCCTTTCTTACAAATGTTAGATGTGTGGCTCTTAAACATTTTTAACTTATGAGAATAGTTAACATTTATTATGCACGTATTACGTGCTAAGCAGTCAATTGATAGGATTTATTATTGTCCTTTTCCACAGTCCCAAGAGATGGACACTATTAATTTTTACAGATAAGGAACAGACTCATAGAGTTTAAGAAACTTTTGGGGTCACTCAAGTAGTAGGAGCTTAGTCGGAATTTAGAACCAGGGACTATATGCTTTTAGAGCCCAAGAACTTAACCTCTCATTCCTGAACTCATTAAATGCAGAAGGTTCACTAACCACACGCAGGGCCGGGTGCTAGCCCCTGGGGATACAAAATGATTAAGAAAAGGACGCCATCATGCTGAATCAGTAAAGGAGACAGATAAAGAAATCCTCATAAAATAGCGGATTGGGTGGGAGGATAACAATCTTTGCGTGGTACAGAGGTAGCTCGGCGTAAGGGAGGAACTCAGACCCAGGAATCAGAAAGGCAAAATGGCAGTGGCTGGCGAATGTGACCCCTGGAGGGCTGCGGCGAAACCGCGTGTGACACACGGAGGGAATGGCAGCTGGAAGGAGAGGCACGCGACAGGGCCAAGGAGGCCGGTGTCACGTCCCAGCCGCCCCCGGAACCTCTCTGGGGGGTTCTGCAGACTGACGAGTTTCCCGGAGGCGGCGGCCGCGGGCCCAGCACGGTTACCGATGCCGCTGCCTAGGAGAGCCGTTGGGTAGTGCGGGTTGGAGAGGCCTCCCGGGGGACGTCGCCCGGCACACGCCCCGACGGTCCCGACCGCAGACGCCAGGGATGGGGTAGGCTCCCGGGGAGCATCGCCTGGTCCTCCTCCCTCATCGGCCTCCTCAGGCGCTCGGGAGGGACGGGACTCCGGGGAAGCATCCGCTCGGCCACCCTCCCCGGCAGGCCCGACCTCAGACGCCGCGGGCCAGGTCAGAGCGCCCGGGGGACGGGGTCCCCAACGCAGATGCCTGGCTGCCGCGCGCTGGGGGTTCGGCCCCTGAAGAGGCCGCAGCACTGCGCTGGAAATGAATGAAAGAAGCCCAGTTTGAAACAAAGGCCGACGCAAGGCTTGGGAGGAGAAGCGGTGGAAAGCCCTTACCTCATGATGGCAGAGCTCCGCAGGCCGTCCGGGCGGCGGGGTCCCTCGCGCTCTCTCTTCAGCACCGGGGACCGCGGGCAGCCGCGCTGCTGGCGGGCGGGCTGGCGTGTGCGCGTGCGCGCGCCAGCCAGGCGTCGGCAGCACTGGGACTCGGCCGGGCGGCGCGTCTTTGTTAGAGGAGGGACCCCAGCAGGAATAGGTAACTGGAAAAGGAATCTGATGCCCGAGCGCTCAGAAACCGAAACTTAAGAAATCGAAACTTAATGGAAGCTTCAGAAACCGAAACTTAAGAAATGGAAACTTAATGGAAGCTTCAGAAACCGAAGCTTAATGGAAGACCTCAAGAGCTGCGGCCAGACGTTTGCGGAGTCCAGGGTCTTTTTGGAGGTGAATTTGCAGCGGGGCCCATGCCCTTCTTGGTCTCGGCTCTTATCTGACTCTTTGAGTCCGCTGAGCTCGCGTGCTGCCCGCTTAGCTGTTTGTTTTTGAGTCAGGGTCTCATTCTGTCACCTAGTCCTGATCTTAAGCGATCCGCCTCTGCCAACCAAGGTTCTGGGATTACAGACGGAAACTGAAGTCCCTGCTTCTACTCCAGTCTTTTGATTCAATAAGCAACACTGCAATGCTATACATCTGTGCTGTTATTTCTGTTGGGTGTAATCTAGAGAAATTTGGAACTAAAATCTATATACATTTTAAGTTTGGACGGATATTGCCAAATAGCTTTAAAAATCCACTCCTAGCCACAATTGTAAGAGAGTGCTTCTCTTCCCTACCTTTGCCAAGGGTGCTTTGTATAATAAGGACCCAATAAAAGTGAGAGTGGTATTGGGAATCTAGGCAGAAAATGTCATGCAGCCATACATTAAACATTTTGTTTAATGAATTCATTCGGCAGATTTTGGGGAACAACTGTAAAAGCCAGACTTTGTTAAAAGTACTGTCAATATAACAAAGAAAACAGACACGGGCCTTACCCTTATTGAGTTAATGTCTGTATTCAAAACCTCAATAGCCTGTCCATAATTCATGTTTTGCATTGGTTTGGATTTTGTTGTTGTTGTTGTTGTTTTGAGACAGAGTCTTACTCTTTCACCCAGTTTGGAGTGCAGTGGTGAGATCACAGCTCACTGCAGCCTCAAACTCCAAAGCTCAAGCAATCTCCCACCTCAGCTTTCTGAGTGGCTGGGGCCGCAGGCGTGCACCACCCACGTCCTGCTAGTTATTTTATTTCTTGTGGAGACGGGGTTTTGCCATGTTGCCCAGGCTGGTCTCCAACACGTAGGCTCAAGAGATCTGCCCGCCTTGGCCTCCCAAAGTGCTGGGATTACAGACCTGAGCCACCATTCCTGGCCTGATTTTGTATTTTTAAAAACATATTGCATTGAAATATTGTCTACCTTGATCACTGAGCTTCTGGTACCCCACCTCCTAAGACTTAGTGCCTGTGGCAAGTGCCTCATTTAAGGCGACCACTTTTAACAGTTGTACTGTCTTATACAGAAACTGCTGGTCACATGTGGCTATTAAGGACCTGAAATTTTAATTTAATATAAATTCAGAAACTGATAAGTTAATAGAAAACTTTAAAGAATATTTGGAAAAAACTTAGGTGCACGAATCTACTTTTTTTAAGTTGCAAATTTTATAAAATCTAAATACAGAGCAAGTATTTCCAATGATTATCCTCAGCAAACTAACCCAGGAACAGAAAACCTAACGCTGCACGTTCTTGCTTATAAGTGGGAGCCGAATGATAAGAACACACGGACACAGTGGGGAGCAACACACACTAGGGCTTGTTGGAGGTGGGGGGTGGGTGGAAGGGAGAGCATCAGGAAGTATAGCTAAGGGATGCTGAGCTTAATACTTAGGTGATGGGATAATCTGTGCAGCAAACCACCATGGCACACGTTTACCCATGTAACAAACCTGAACATCCCGCACATGTACCCCTGAATTTAAAATAAAAGTTGGCCTGGTCGCGGTGGCTCATGCCTGTAATCCCAGCACTTTGAGAGGCTGAGGCAGATGGATCACAAGGTCAGAAGTTCAAAACCAGCCTGACCAACATGGTGAAACCCCATCTCTACTAAAAACACAAAAATTAGCTGGGTGTGGTGGCATGCACCTGTAGTCCCAGCTACTAGGGGGACTGAGGCTGGAGAATTGCTTGATCCCGGGAGGCGGAGGTTGCAGTGAGCCAAGATGGCACCACTGCACTCCAGCCTGAGCAACTGAGCTAGACTCCGTCTCAAAAAATAAAAATAAAAAAAAAAATAAATAATAAAGTTGAAGAAAAAATGTATTTCCAGCGAAAATTTAGCATTTAATTTGAGATGTGCCATAATCTCTTTCCTACCTTCTTAAGGACAATGGATGAAATCAATATCTATTGGAAGGAGTAAAAATATTACATGATTGAAGCAAAATGTGTTGGGAGCCCCAAATTTGGGGATTTTCTTGGGGTGCTCTGTGGTAGTAAGAATAATGCCCCCCCAATGGTATCCATGCCCAAATCCCCAGAACCTGTGAACATGTTACTTTACATAGCAAAAGAAACTTTGCAGATTTATTAAATCAAGGATTTGGGGATGGGGCGATTTTCCTTAATTATCCAGGTGGACCTGGTGGGTCCTTAGAAGAAAGAGGCAAAAGAGTCAGAGGAGGGAAGGAGATGTGAAGAAAGCAGTGAGAGAGATTTGAGGATGCTACACTGTTGATTTTGAAGATGGATGAAAGAATTCAGGCAGCCTCTGGAAGCTGGAAAAGACCATCCACCTAGAGCCTCTGGAGGATTGCAGCTGCATCAGTACCTTGACTTTGGCTCACTGAAACCCATTTGACTTCTGACCTCCAGAACTGTAAGACGATAAATCTGTGAAATTTTGAGTCACCAAGTTTGTGGAATTTGTTATAGCCACTACAGGAAACTAATATATTCTTCCCTAAAACATGTACAAGAATGAAAGATCAGTAACACTGCTTCTTTTCCTTTCTTATAATATTATTTGTTGTGCATTGCCTTTCAATAAAATGTGATTATTCATAATCAAAGGTAATTGTTACCAACAATCTCTGATTATTTAGCAATGCTTTCATGTAATATTTCTTGATTTAACTAGATTAATATCAGCAAATGACTTAGTAAATAGTGCTTTAAATAAAATGGTATAAAGCAAGATAAACTCTTTGGAACACTTTAACATTGAATTAAACTTAAAATGTCTTCATGAAGAAAGCTAACCTTTATTGACTGTATATGGCTATGTGTCTCTCACTAGATTGTAAACTGCATGAGGTTTGGGAAGAATATTTGCCTGTTTATTACAATATTTTTGGTTTCTTGCACTGAAAGCTATTTCTTGATAGTGTTGATATAAAATCATGAGCTGTATACGTTTGGAGAGAACTTTTTTTTTTTGAGGCAGAGTCTTGTTCTATCACCCAGAATGGAATGCAGTGGCACAATCTTGATTCACTGCAGCCTCGAACTCCCCGGTTCCAGCAATCCTGAGTAGCTGGAACTGGAGCTACAGGCGCATGCCACTACATCCAGCTAAGTTTTTACATTTTTTGTAGAGAGGGTTGGTTTTGCGATTGCCCAGACTGCTCATAAACTCCTGGTTCAGGTGATGTGCCTGCCTCGACCTCCTGAAATGTTGGGATTACAGGCGTGAGCCACCGCAGGCTCTTCTTCCACAACCTGTAGCCTGGGAAGCAGAGCCTCCCACAGCGACCAAAAGGAGGCACTTGGAGAGAGGGAGGGTATTACAGAAGTTTTATGCTTAATGGATTGTTTAGACATACACATTTAACAGGCTGTGGGGGGCTGTGAATATTCATGAGGGGCAGTCACACAAGAGTGGTATGCAAACATGTATATTACATGCATTCTGTGTTCACTTTGTGGTGGAGACTTAACATTATAATGCAGGAAAATAGGCTTTATATGTCAAAAGGTGAAACAGAGGACATAGAAGCAACCTGTGTGAGCTTCCATGGACTGGCCAGAACCAGTCTGTGGGAGGTGGTCACTTATTAGGAGGGAAGGCTGGTGAGTTGTCTTGTGGAAACCGTGAGAGGGGAGCAGAGTCTGGCTATGGCGCTAGGTAGAGTCAGCCAAGGAGTGAGTCTTCTGTTCTTTGCTTTCCAGGGATTTCTGTTTAACTCAGGGAAAAAAGTCCAATGGCAGTTAGCAAGGGAGGGAAAATAAAGAGGTGTGACTGATCTCTCATCTTGTCATGGTTGGGAAACTTAGTTTTTAAGGTTTCTGGGGTCTCCTTGACCCCAGCAAGAAGAGCGGGTCTGTTCCGTTCGTAAAGGAGCTAAGAATTTTATTTCACAATAAAATGAATGAATCAAACATTTAGTTTAATTAAGTCCAGTATTTTATTTCCTACAGAGTTACCTAATATTTTTCTCTACTAAATAGCACTCATACAAATGGTTTCTCTTTCCTACATGCACACACACATTCTGTTTCACTAATTGTTGAATGCAACTAATATTTTATTAGATTTGAGTAATTGTTCAAGAATTACATCATTACAGTGAATTATAATGTTTCTGAAAAGAGTAAGCAGAAAAGATGATTAGTACATGTTAGCATAAAAACAAATGAAATGTGAAAGTGGCTGATATTTGGGTGCCTAAGGACCTTGTCCCACAGAGTTCTCAAAGTCAGCAGCCAGTCTCAGGGCCTGCTCATAGTACTCCAGGGCTTCATTCATTTTTCCTTTCAATTTGTACACAAACCCGAGGAGGCTCAAGCTTTCCAGGTCTAATGCATTTCTCTGAAGTTTCCTTAAAACCAATTTCTTCAAAGAATAGATACTTTTATCCCTTGCTAATGATGCCTGTTCTATTTTTATAGCTTTTAAATAATGGATAATTGCATTGACCTCAGATTTCTTTTGATATTCCTGAAAGCGGCCATAGTGCAAATGTATGTCTTGCATTGTTTCTTCTACTACTGGGTTCGTGCGTAACAGTTTTTGAAAAATTTCCTCAGCTTTCCTGTGATTGCCCGCTTCTATATGCATTCTTGCCAGATCTAGAAGAGCCACTTCAAATGTGGGCTTTTTTTCCACTGCAGATTCAAAATAAAATATGGCCGATCTTATCATTTTGTCTACCCTTTCTCTGTTCTGCCCTCTAGGCTGCCCTTTTGTAGCTTCCTTGATTTGGATCATTTGTGCTTTGTAGCAAAGCCCTATCTGGTGATGCAGCAAGGCAGAAGTGGGTGTTGCCTGCAAGGCCATTTTTAAGAGCTGAAGAGCTTTATCCACAGAGCCTTTTCTTCGATAAAACTTGGCTGCATATCGAAAGACATAGGTCTGTGAAGACATACTGGTCAGAGCTTCTTCAACATACTTTTCTCCTTCAGCTTCCTGTCCTTCATCCTGAAGCTTCAGGGCAAGAAGAACCTTAATATATCCATTGTCTGGATTTAGACGGACAGCCTGCCTTAGGGGAAGCAAAGAAAATGGCTTGTGATCTTTTGTTGCAAATTTAAAGCCGTCCAGGCGATAGGTAGAGATTGCGTACCCAGCACTGAATTCAGCGTTTTCAGGGTCCACTTCAAGAGCCTTTTCAAAGCAGGCCTTGGCCCGTTCATAATTCTTTCCTCCACACTTCAGCAAGGCCCATCCTTCCTCACAGTCTATTTCTGGACATTCCATCCTATAGCGGAAGGGATTTGAAAACTTCTTGCAAATGTTTTCCACCTTGTCCAGGTAAGTCTGGGCTTCTGCCAGTTTGCCCATGTGGTAATATACCCAGGCAAAGTTGCCCCAGGTCACCAGACTTCTCACATCTGCTTGGTTGGCATGTTCTTTCTGGATTAAGTCTTCAGCTTCTTTTAAGCTCTCCAGGGCTTCCTCATTCTGGTCTTTCAGGTGTTTCACATAGGCTAGTAGGTTGTGTATTCCCACATTGTATTTGGTGTCTAGGAATTCAATCTGGTCCAAGACTCTGTTTTCTAAATCGGGTATTTCATCATCCTCAACTGATATCTCCCATGTAAAGTGACATCTCAACTGCTCCAGACTATCCTTGACCTGATGATCATCAGCATTTGTACTGTGAAAACAAAACAGATTTTCTTTGTTAGGTGAAGAACAGCCAAAAGAAAAAAAAACAGATAAAATACCTTGTATTTTAGTGCTGCTTCTTGAAAGGATCACATTTACTTAGATTTCATTAAAGGTCATGTACTTAAGTTATTTATGGACAGTTGATGTAGTTTGCTTAGCTTCATATGCTGGCTAGAGCAGTTTCCAGCCAAGTAACTATTCTGTACTTAAGAGTCCCATTTGTAAAATGGAGATAATGATAGTATTTATCACATTGGCTTTGGTGAGGATTAATAAACTTATATGTGTAAAGCATTTAGAGCATATTATATGCTATATAAGAGTATAAGAGTTTCTTATTTTAATATTAAGATAATTAGGACAGAGGTCAGTTAGAAATGCAGAGCCTTAGGAAACACTGACTTTAGAACCTTACTCTGCATGTAATGCAACAAATTAAGACCACATGAAAAAGATAATATTTGATCACGGTTTTTTTTTTTAACTTGAAAATAATTATAGATTCACGGAAAGTTGCAAAGGCAGTACAGAGATCCAGTGTATCCTTCAATTTCTGCAATGATTATATCTTACACAACTATAATACAGAAGTTCAAAACTAGAAAATTGATGTTGGTACAACAATGCTTTTGTATAGTGCTATGACATTTTTTCACATGAGTAAACCTATGAGACCACAAATATTGGTGAGGATGTAGAGAAACTGAAACACTTGTGCACTGCTAGTAAGAATGTAAAAAGAGGCAAGTGCTGCGAAAAATGTTATGGTAATTCCTCAGAAAAATTAACCATAGAATTACCATTTGATCCAGCAATTCCGCTTTTGGTTTTATACCCAAAAGCAGGAACTCAAGCAGATATTTATATGACCATATTCATAGCACCATTATTCACATAGCAAAAGGTAGGAGCAACGTAAGTGTCCATTAATGGATGAATGGATAAACAAAATGTGGTATATACATACAATGGAATATTCAGCCTTAAAAAGGAAAAGACATTCTGATACATGTTACTACATGGATAAATCTTGAAGATATTATGCCAAGTGAAATAAGCCAGTCACAAAAGGACAATACTGTATGATTCAATTTATTTAAGACACCTAGAGTAGCCACTTTCATAAAGACAGGAAGCAGAATAGTGATTACCAGGGACTGGGGTTTTGGGTCTGTCCCACAGACCCTGGCTGATGGATGAAATGAGTACTCAGACACAGGTATGCAGTGTAAGAGCAGCTAGGCTCTAATGCCTGGCTCTAATGGCCAGAGAACAGCCCTGAGAAGCTGGAGCTGCTTGCTTTTGTTCAGTGCAGGCGCAATGCCAAAAACCTGGAGCCATCACAACCTGTAGGTAATTAACATTTATTGTTCCACTTTCAGGGAACGAACAGGTTTGCGGATGATCAATGGTCAGTTCCTGGTGAATATAAGTAGACAAGCCTGTTTAAGATAAATTCCCCTACACTCCTTTGAGCCTACTCCTTGCCCTCTGCCTCAGGGTTATAGAACAGATGCCTTCAGCTATTCTCCCCTGGGGCTCTGCAGAACCTTCCAGCCTTTCAGAAGGTTTGCATACTTTCCCTATAGTTTTTCCCACCACTCTGACCAATCCCCAACACTGGGAGAGGAGAGAATAGGAAATTATTGTTTAATGAGTACAGAGTTTCAGTTTAGGAAGATGAAAAATTTCTGGAGATGGATGGTGGTCATAGTTGCATAATAAAGTAAATGTATTTAATGTCATAGAACTGTACACTTAAAAATGGTTAAAATGGTCAATTTTATGTTATATATATTTTACCATAATAAAACAATGTATGATTTACTTATGGCAAAGATGCTGTAAACAAGGTAAATAAAAATGTGGAAAATGTTTGTAATACGGAGAAGATTCTCATCTATGATATATAAAGTTTTTTTGCAAATTGGTATAGTTCAACAGAAAAACAGAAATGGATATGAATAGATAATTTGTAGAAGAGCAAATATAAATGACTAATAAACATGAAAAAATATGCTCTGGATGGGCACAGTGGCTCATGCCTATAATCCTAGCACTTTGGGAGGCCAAGGCAAGAGAGTTGCTTGAGGCCAGACATTTAAGATCAGTCTGGGCAACATGGCAAGACCCTGTCTCTATAAAAAGAAAATAGATGCTCTAAGCCTCTAGCCATTAGAGAAATGCAAATTAAAGACGTAATAATTTACAACTTTATTCCACTCAGATTGGCAAGAGTTTAAATGGATGAGGATACAATTTCTGAAGCCATGAATTATTATGGTCTTCAAGATCAATCTGATGATAGTCATTAAAATTGAAAAAATACATTTCCTTCAACAAAGTAATTCCACTCCTTGGAATCTATCTCCCAGAAAAAAACCACCAGTACATAAGGATATATGCTCAAGAATATTCATTACCAACACTGTATATATTAGCAACAAACTGGAAATATTAATAGAGAATGGTTAAATAAATTACGGAATATCTATACCATAGAATATTATGTAGCCACTAGACTGCATGAATTAGATCAAAACTAGTTGAGTTGGAAGAACTTTCATAATGTACAGTTAATCAAGAAAAGTGAATTGTAAAGAAGTGTCTGAAACATGACCCTATTTTTTATTTTCTGAAGAGCCAAATCCTTATATATTTGTCTATAATTACTCATGTATGGAGAAATATATGTAAGTACACTTATAGCTGATCAACAAAAAGACATGCAACCCAACTTAAAAATGGGAAAAGGACATGAGTAGATAATTCTCCAAAAAGAATCACAAAGCACTAGCAAACGCATGAAAAGATGCTCAACATCATTAGGCACTAGAAAAACGCTAACCAAAACCTTGTCACTTTTTACCCAGTAAGTTGGCTATAATAATAATTTTAAAAAAGGAAAATAAGTGAACAAGTGTTGACAAGTGCTCTGGTTTGGATACAGTTCAATTGTCCCCACCAAATCTCCTACTGAAATTTGATCTCTAGTGTCACAATTTTGGAGGTAGGGCCTAGTGTGATGTGTTTGGGTCATAGAGGTAGATCTCTCATGAATGACCTGGTGCCATTCTAGTAGTAGTGAGTAAATTCTAATTCTCATGACACTGGATTTTTTCTTAGGGGAATGGATTAGTCCTTCGAGTATAGGTTGTTATAACACCAGGATGCCTCCTGGGTTTAGTCCCTCTTTGCATATGCTGCCGCTTTGACCTTCTCCAGCGTGTTTTGACATAGCACCAAAGCCCTCACCAGAAGCTCAGAAGATGTCATCACCATGCTTCTTGTATAGCCTGCAGAACTGTGAGCTAAATAAACCTCTTTTCTTGATAAACTGCCCAGCCTTAGGTATTCTTCTATAGCAACACAAAAAGAACTAAGACAACAAGGATGAGGAGAAATTGAAACCCTCATACATTGCTGGTGGGAATGTAAAATGATGCAGCTGCTGTGAAAAACAATGTGGTGGTCCCTTAATAAGTTAAATGTAGTATTATCATATGACACACTCCTAGGTATACATTTCTGGGTATGTTCCACACCTGGATATATATTTGAAATAATTAAAAACAGGCATTCAAACAAAAACTTGCACACAGATGTTCACAGCAGCACTACTCATAATAGCCAAAAAATGGAAACAAGTCAAATATTCATCAACTGATGGACAGAAAAATGTAATATATGAAGTGGAATATTATGTAGCCATAAAAAGGAATGAAGTACTGATACATGACACAACATGGATAAACTTTGACAACACTACACTAAATGAGAAAAACTGATCCAAAAGGTCACTGTTGTAGTTTTTTTTTTTTCTTTCCTAATTTGGTCTTGAGGTCTTTCTCATGAGAGTGGCTGCAATCTACAGTCCTGCCTTGAAAGAGCTCCAGGATATTTGGCCATGGATATTTACAATGTGCCTTTATTGGGATAATTATTTTGATGAACAGCCTAATGCCTAAGTGTGTGATCTATGTCTAGGTGCTCCCTCTTATAGGAAACTTGTTTATACCTGGCAGATGCCCTTGTGGCTCTTGCCTGACCTGTGTTTAGTTTATGTCTACCAAGATAGCCACTCTCTTGGAAAGCCATGACCTGGAAAGAAATTGGGTTTGAGTGTGTTGGTCAGGTGAGATACAAAGGAGGCAACTGAAAAAAAAAGCATGTGAAATAACAGAAGCAGCTTACTACTTACAGATCCAGAGAGAGGAGGGCAATATGCCTTGCAGGGCCGATGGGAAAGGGGGAGCCACTGAGGAGATGCATGCTCAACAAGCAAGTGGGGAATGTGGGCCCAAGCCTTTATGGGAGGCCAGGGCATTACCTAGGTGAGTTTTCTGCGGAGAGTTCTAATTGGTGGGTTTAAAGCAAGCAGGTGGAAGTTTTGCCAAGGGGTCATGCTGTGACTGAGACATGGTCACTATAGCACTAGCACATCCGCCTGGTCCATGTGAGGTCAGGGTGGGGTCAGTGGGGCAAATCAAATAGGTCATACCCTGCTATGCTATAGGAAAGTGATATCTGGATCAGTCACATTGAGGAATTGGAAAAAGGTGGAGAACGAGAAACTGTGTCCAGGGCGACTGAACCCTGCTTCTGGTATGAGAAAGTTCGACTTAATATTAAAAAATTGATGCTTAGGAAATATAAAATTATAAGAATTCAATATAGCCACATAGTATGTGTTTCCATTTATATGAAATATCCACAATAGGCAAATTCATAGAGACAGAAAGCAGATTAACAGTTGCTGGGGACTGGGGAAAGGGGTGAGTAGAGAGAAACTACTTAATGGGTATGAAGTTTCTCCACATAGTGAGAAAAATATTCTTGAACTAGATAGTGATGATGATTGCAGAGTAGTATCATGAATATTCTAAATACTACTAAATTGTATACTTTATAGTAATTAAAATGGTAAATTTTATTTTACATGTATTTTATCATAATAAAAAAAAACCACATTGCTAACCTGAATAAAATTCTACAAATTATATATACATAAATATATATATATATGTATTTTTTTCTGTAGTACATGTTGACATAAACAAAAGCAGAAAAACATAAAAGCAAATTAATTTGCCATCTGAAATAATCTCATGAGCCCCCATTGGCACATTGATTTAATGGTTTGATGAAATATTGAATGAGAGATCATGGTCCATATCTCAAAGCTACCACTTATTGTCTGTGTGATCTTAACATTTCTAAATCTAAGATTCCTTATTGCAAAATCAGGATCATACAGCCATGCTCTGCATAATTATATTTTAGTCCATGAAGGACCACATATCTGGTGGTGGTCCTGTAAGATTTTAATACCATATTTGTACTGTACCATTTCTATGTTTAAATATGTTTAGATAAACAAATAATTGCCATTGTGTTGCAACTGCCTACAGGATTCAGTACAGTAACATGCTGCTCAGGTTTATAGCCTCGGTGTGTAGTAGGTTATACCGTCTAGGTTTGATGTTTGCAAAATGATGAAATTGCCTAACAACTAAATTTCTCAGAGTGTATCCCCATTGTTACGCGATGCATGACTGTATAAGTACCTGCCTCATAAGGATCTTTTGAAAATTAAATGCAATAATTTACATAATACTTTTAGAAGCCAGGCTAGCACTTAATAAGCATTCAGGAAGTGATAACTACTATAACATTTATTATTGTTATTATTTAAATTATCACTACCAACTGCATCTGTTTACAAAGGAAGGTTGATCATAGGCCTGTAATGTGCATTTTCTGGAATTTTTACTCCTTCAAAATTTTGCCCACTGGAGCACTGAGGGGGAAATTTACAAATTAGTATCAAGTAATGTTTTTTTTTTTTTTTTTTGAGATCGAGTCTCTGAGATTGGGATCATTTTTCTCCCTTCCTGGAAAACTTTTCCCTTTTCCTTCCCCTTCATTGGGCTATAGCATGAAGTAAGCTTCCTCAAGTTCATGCTAACAAAAATAAAAATCCATTAATTCAATAATGTATGTGTGAATGTGCACACACATGCGTGCACACATTCAGTCCATAAGCAAATACTCAAATTGAGAAATTAGAAAACCTGACCTCACTGAGATCAAACCCGTTAAAATTGAATTTAATTACCATTTTTTCAACAACTTTAGACATTATGGCAGAGAAGCAAAGAAATCCTTACCTCATGATTGCTGTGAAGTAGGTAGCCGTTCTGCAGTGTTTTGATTAGCCAGGTTCCTCTGAGATCCGGCTATTCTGTCTTGCGGATTTTCAGTGAAGTTCAAACCCCAAGACAGGGTTATATAAGGGAGCCAAACAACAACAAATGGTGTAAGCTCTGGGTGTGTCCCTGCAAACTGGAAACCGTGAGGGAAACGGAAAGTAGAAAGTGAAACTAAAGCTAGTGAATTCCTGCAGGGGGCGTGGAAATGAAATTTGAACAGTGATTGATTTCTTTGTTCTCTGTTGATAAAATAACTGAAAGGAGGCTGGTGAAATCTGTCTTACTGATGTGCTAATTTCTCTCTCCAGATCTTGCAGAAAGCTGGAAGCTAGGAGATGTTAGTGCAGAGTCCACTGAACCTAGAGCAGGAGACCTATGAAAATTGGGCACGTGAACTTTCAAAAGTAATGCAACCCCAGCTGCATTTTGCTCATCTGGCACCAGAGATTGTTCATTTCATGATATGAAATTCTGTAAATGAAAATTGGGCACGTGAACTTTCAAAAGTAATGCAACCCCAGCTGCATTTTGCTCATCTGGCACCAGAGATTGTTCATTTCATGATATGAAATTCTGTAAGTCTCTGAACAGGAATCTTAGCCTAAATTTACTGCCATTCTCTTGTAATTGTGTAAGGGATTCTTCCTGCCCATTGCATAAAGAAAAAGTTTAATAGACAGGAGGCTGGAGAGGGAGTTAGTACTTAAATCATCTCCTCCAAAGCTCGGGGGTTGGGGGTGGGGGTGGGGGTGGGTAGGTTTGCTGTTGATTGGTTGGGATGGAGATGAAATTATAGAGGGTGGAAGCTGTCCCCCAGCACACTGAGTAGCTTCTGGGTGGGGTCACAGCAGTGGGGTTGGTGGGTTCAGGTGAAGCCATGAGTGTCAGACATGGAAAAAAACCCTAAAAAGATATCTCAAAAGGCCAGTTTACAATAGTGGTGTTATCTTCAGGAATGATTGGTGATCTATATCTACGCCTTAGCAAAATCAGACTCCTCTCCTCCCTCAGCTAGACAGACTTTCACTAGCTTTACACAAGTGGTTGAGTTTTGGTAAGGCCTATTATCATCTAAACTACAGCTTGAATGTCTTTCACAATTGACTCAGCCCAAAACCCCAGAAATAATTGGGAAAAAAAGTGAGATGGGGGGTGGGCTAGTTCACCTTACTTTTATAATTTTTCTCATTGATGTAATTTTTGCAAAGGCATTTTCACTCTGAGCAGTTGTGTCTTCCTAACAATGCAGGATATTTTCTTGACTCCTTCACAGGACTCGTGACAGGGGTGCCTTGTTTACTCAGCCCACCATGCTCAACGCCTTGCTTGAAGGAGCATGTGAGTGAATGACTGCAGGAACTGAAGTTATCAAGTGCAGGAACCTGCTGCTTTAGCAAGAATAAGTGCAGGAACCAGCCAATCTGGCAGCAGTGAACTCCCTATGGCAGTGTCCAGGTGGGGTGCCTGTGACACCAAGGCCCCAGAGGCCATGTTACGATGCTCTCTTCTCTCTGCTGTCCACAGAGAGCATTGTGTTATCAACTCAGTGTGCCCTCTGCCTTGTTGATTGGCGCAGCTGCCTTCTACTAGTAAGGGCAAAGGGTCTGTAATTCCAGCACTTTGGGAGGCTGAGGCAGGTGGATCATGAGGTCAGGAGATTGAGACCATTCTGGCCAACATGGTGAAACCCTGTCTCTACTAAAATACAAAAAATTAGCTGGGCATGGTGGTGCACACCTGTAGTCCCAGTTACTCAGGAGGCTGAGGCAGGGGAATTGCTTGAACCCAGGAGGCGGAGATTGCAGTAGTCGGAGATCGCACCACTGCTCTCCAGCCTGGCAACAGAGCCAGACTCCATCTCCAAAAAAAAAATATTGTCCAGGTGCACTGGCTCATGCCTGTAATCTCAGCATTTTGGAAGGCTGAGGTGGGAGAATCACTTGAGCCCAGGTGTTGTAGACCAGCCTGGACAACATAATGAGACCCCCAACTCTACAAAAACAACTAAGAAAAACAAAAGCTGGGTGTGGTGGTGTGTGTCTGTGGTCCCAGCTACTCAAAAGGCTGAGGTGGGAAGCTCACTTGAGCCCAGGAGGTAAAGGATGCAGTGAGCCATGATCACACCACTGCACTCCAGCCTGGGCGACAGAGTGAGACCCTGTCTCAAATAATAACAACAGCCACAGTAATAAAGAAAAATAATACTTCCTTAAAAAAAGAAAGCTACCTACTTTGTCTTTTAAAATAAGAAGCAGAAGTGGAGCAGGTGCAAGAATGTTTCCCTCTAGGAAACACTTAAGTGGGCACACTGCCAGACTGAAACAGTTTCTGCTCAACTCCCTGCCAGGCTCATCTTCCATATCAGCTCTCACCAACTCTGCAAGCTTCCACCGAGAATTCAACAACTAGTTAGAAAGTTGTACACAAATAAGAATTTCTGAATTAATAAGTCAGGTTTTGTCATACACTCAGATATAAGATCAGCCATAAGCAAATACTGAAATGGATGAATTAGAAAAAACATCTCCTTTTAGGGAGCAAGATGTCTTTGGAATTCTTATGGAAAAAGAAAAGGGTTTTAATTTGCCAGTGCACCAGATAGCATGCAGAAAAATAAACAAAATTATCATCTTGCCATTGCTGTGAATTTGGCAGCAGTCTTGGTTCTATGGGGCTCTGGCCCAGGCTGATTAAGTATTCAGAATCTTGCCCAGTGTCTCTTTGGGATAAACAGACCCATGAGGGACATAGAATAGAACAACATTAAGGAAAGAAAAGGTCAATCCTGTGTGTGGGTGGGTGGGTGTGTGTGTGTGTGTGTGTGTGTGTGTGTGTGTGTGTGTGTGTGTG